AGGGAATTCCCTACTACTATCATTTTTCTTCTTTTCTTTACTGCACTAATTCTAAGTCATGGGACTGGCTGACACAACCTGGGTAACTGCATGGATGGACTTTCATCTCCACCCTCATTTGCCCGGCCCTCTATTTCTAGAGCCTCATACCTGTTGCGCATGGGCAACTGGGATGATGGCAGAAGTCAGGAGGGGGCTCTTTTGCCTCTCTTGTCTCTCCAGGGAGGGACCTGCCTTCATTCTCCATTGTGTTGGTACAAAATGTTAGCATTGGATGAGTCTTCCACTGTTCTCATAACAGATAAACTAATCCTATGAAGATTGGCAGTGAATGTTCTTTAATGTGATTTCCATTTGGTACTGCATACTACTGAAAGTTGTGTGGTAGGACATCATTGCTACAAAAGACTAAATTAAAAAACAACAGCTCATGCTTCTTGAATGGAAAAGAAGCTAAAACTTTATTCCTAATTCAAGGAGCTGGGTTCTCAGCCTCTGAGCGTTAAAAAGGTATTTTAAAGATATGTTACTATGATATGATACAATACAATGCAGTATGATACAATATGATATGGAAGTCTGTACTTCCAGTGAACACCCAGCAGTGATTACAACAAAGTGGAAAGAACAGGAGGGGGACAGAGAATCACCAGGAAATAATATTTAGAAGTTCATAGACAGAAAATCATAGATGCTTTGCTGTGGAAATGTAGAAAGTATAATTCGCTGTAGTCCTGCTGGTGTGAAGAAGAGTCTTCATTTATTCTCTACACAACTTGTCATCAGCCTAACTGAAAACAAAATAGAATAAATAAATTAAAAGAAAAAAAAACACAACCAAGCAAAAGCAACAAATAAAATAATCTGGGAAATAATAAACCATGTTTACCGCGTTTTCTCCCTTTTTGTACCAAGGAAGTGTCTTAGCCTGTACAAATTATTTACTTACATACTGAGCTAATATCTTCACATACAACTTTGTGTGTTAGATGACTAATGTCATGGCCTTCTATAACAAAATCATCAGTGGACAAGGGAAGGATGTTATCTGGACTCCTGTAAAGCCTTTGATATGGTCCCACACAAAATTCTTAGTGCTAAATTGTAGAGATGTAATTTTAATGGATGAAATGTTAGATAGCTAAGGATTTGTCTGGATGACCATCCCCAAAGAGTTAAAGTCAGTGATTCAATGTCCAAGTGAAAACCATTAACGAGTGGTTTCCCTCAAGAGCCTATACTGGGACCAATATCATTTCATACCTTCATCAATGAAGGTGTCAAATCCCACTGATAGTGGGATTGAGTGCACTCTTATCAAGTTTGCAGATGACACCTAACTGAGTGAGGAAAAGTATGCCACCCAGAGAGACCTGGACAAGCTTGAGGACTGGGCCCGTGTGTGTGTCATGAAATTTAACAAGGCCAAGTGCAAGGTTCTGCATCTGGGTTGGGGCAATTACCAGGATCAGTAGAGGCTGGGGAATGAATAGCTTGAGAACAGTCCTATGGAAGGAGCTGGGGATATTGGTGAATGAAAAATTGTATGTTAGCTGACCATGTGCCCTCACAGCCTAGACAGCCAATCATATCCTGGGATGCATCAAGAGAAACATTGCCAGAAGGTCAATTCTTACCCTCTATGCTGCTCTTGTGAGACCCTACCTGGAGTGTTGCATCCAGTTCTGGGGTGCAAGAAACAAATAGACCTGTTAAAATGGGTCCAAAAGAGGGCCACAAAAATGATCAGAGGCCTGGAAAACCTCTCCTGTGAGGAAAGGCCAGGAGAACTGCGAGCATTCAGCCTGGAGAAGAGCAGCCTCTAGGCAGTCCTTCAATATGATTAGCTGTCTGGGCTTACAAGAGAGACTTTTTACCAAAGCCTGTAGTGACAGGATTAGGGGTAATGTTTTTAAACTGACAAAGGCTAGCCTTGGATTAGATGTAAGTAAGAAATTTGTTTTGATGAGGGTGGTGAGACACTGGAACAGGCTCCCTAGCAAAGCTGTGGATGTCCCATTACTGGAAGTGTTCAAAGACGGGTTGGATGGGTCTCTGAGCCACCAGATCTAGTGAAAGATGTTCCTGTACATGGCAGGGTTGTTGGACTAGACAATCTTCAAAGGGCCCTTTGGATCCAAACCATTCTGTGATTCTATGCTTGTGGTCTAGTAAAGTATAAACTACTCCCTCTAGTATCCTTGAAAAAGGACATAAAATATAATTGGTATTGTGCTCATATTCATCCTCACCTCTACCAAGTCACTTTTCAAATACATCTCCTATTCTTGCTTTTAAAGGAACAACTGCTGACATTTCCACTACTCTCACTTTCAGTGAGTATCTTTCAGCCATATGAGAAACTTACCAATAAAAGGTATTTCCTGGTAGTTACTTAAACTTCTCCATTCATTCAGATTTATCCCATCTTTTCGTTGTAAATCCTCATAAATCTTTTTTCAGATTTATCCCTCAAAATCCTGCTTATTACTTTCACTGAAAGCATGACACCCTTTTCAGTGCTTACAGAAAAGTACGATACGTTTGATATTTCCCATTACTTTATAGCGTTGTCCTTAATTCTCATATTTTTTCATGGGTTTAAAGAGTATTTTGAGAAGGAATTTCTCTGCTAGAAAGCATTAATTTTATCTGAGTTCGGGAAAAAAACCCCACAATTGAAAACTCAACTCCTGTGATTTTTCAAACTAGCCTGCACAAAACCCAGCAGAACACATGGAGAACAACACCACAGCTTAGATTTAGTCTATATCCACTGATCCTTGCACTTGCAAGATCAACTTTTAAGATGCTTGCTAGCCTACCTTGGCTGTCCATACCAGACCGCTCACCAAAACTGCATAAAGCAAGGCTTTGCCACAGAGAATGAAGTAAGTGAGCTTCAACGAATTTCCATACCGTAAGTAGGACCCTGCAAATCAAACATAATTTCTGTATTGAATTATCATAATTTCTGTACTGAATTATCATTATCACAAGATACTAGATCTAATGTAGCTTTAATCAAATTAGAACACTTTAAATACTTAGCTAAGCTACACAAAAGAACTAGAGCCAAATTAATGGCTCTGTTGACATGAGAGAGCAGGAAATGGGAAAGAACACTGTTATTCAAAGAAACAAAAGGGAGAGCAAGTCTGGGAAAGAAGAGATTGGCTTTATGCTAAAAAAGTGTGTCTTGTTTGGGAATGTTTACCCACGGTGTTGCTACATATACTGGGGCACTCAGATTAAACTAAATCACAAGAGAAAAATTTTTTTCACTTGGCGTTGTCAGTGTTTTTGTGAGTGCTGCTGATATATCAGGGAAGTTTTACATAGCCCAAAATACATGGTGTGTAGAACTTCTATTTCTGTGCATTTTTCACCGTTATAAATTGCAGCAATATTGAGACACCAGCCTGATCTTGGTTCAGCCTTAAGATTACTGGAGCATTAAAGAAGTTGGTGAGAAACAGAATTGTGTAAGTATGCATACATAGAGGAAAGAAACATAATTTTAAATATGGATATTCTCACAGCTTGGAGGGGAATATGACTTGTAATGAGAAATATTCTGAATTTGGTATTGAGAAATACTCAGAATTCCAGATATTGAATCTTGATGTTATAATCACTTGGTTAAGTATGATTTATTTTTTCTCGAGGCTCAGTAAGCAGCTTCCCAACAGAAGGCAGTGTTAAGGACTGGAGGAGACGATAAAAAGAGCAAATTACATTCTAGAGGAAGATTCCAAAATTTCTTCTATTATTTTGAAAAAGAATCATAAAGAGCTAAAAAAACAAAACACAGTTGCAAACAACATGCACACATAACTCTCTCCAAATATTTGTTTGCTTTTTTTTTTTTACTAACATACAGATCACTTAGATGAGGAAGTACAAGTTATTCTTGTACTACAAATCTCACACACCTCTTATTTAGCATCAGCAAATCTGGAATACATACAGATATTTTCCCATGAGAAGACACACATACCTTCTGTGAGTGCACAACCTGAAAGGCAAAAATGATTGCAAGTCATACTCCTCTTCAATACAAACAGAAAAAAATATTTAGAAGTTTCTGCTTACAATATACTGCCTGATTCATTTTACCACACTATAAAGTTTTTTATACTATACATTTTACTATTTACTACTTACTGTGTTTAATATTTACTATTTCCTACAGACATTTCTCAGTGAAAATCTTTTAAAAACTATAGCTCTATAGTGATAATGTAGATACAGAGACCCAGGAATATGAAGAAACATATGCAAATACTGTCGTGGTTTAACACCAGCCAGCAGCTAAATATCACACAGCTGTTCACTCATTCCTCTTCCCTAACAGTGAGATGGGCAGAACTGAAAAAATAGTAAAACTTGTAGGCTAAGATAAGAACATTCTAATAACTAAAAGAAAATATAATAAGAGCAATAATAAAATATAATAATAATAGTAATGAGAATGACTATAAGAAAAAGAGAGAGAAATCAAGCCCAAGAAGAGACAAGTGATGCATAACGCAATTGCTTACCACCCATTGACCAATCAACCCCTCCCATCCAACTTCCCCTAGTTTATATACTGAACATGATGTTCTATGGTATGAAATATTCCTTTGGCTAGTAAAGGTCAGCTGTCCTGGCTATGCTCCTTCCCAGCTTCTTGTGCACTTCCTCACTAGCAGAGCACAGGAAACTGAAAAAAATCCTTAACTTAAGCACTATTAAACAACGGCTAAAACATCGGTGTGTTATCAACATATTCTCATACTAAATCCAAACACAACACTGTGTCAGGTGCTAGGAAGAAAATTAACTCTATCCCAGCCGAAACCGGGACAAAATACCTACATATATACATATATATTTGTGAAATAACAATATCCTGTATAGAAGTTGAACATAGGCATATTTGACATCATAACACACAGCTTTTGATTTGTCATTTCTAGTTTGTACAACATGATGGTACACATTTTTTTACTCACCAGCATTACCACGGACAAACTTGTGTATTGATTCCAGTGTTGCATTCTTAAAAAAATTGGCAACACACTCAAAACGATTCAGAGGGTTGAACCATTCCTGGGCTGAGATCCTCAGTCGACTGGTCAAAGAATAGGTACTGCCATTGTGTGTGGAAAACTCATCTGTCCCCACTCCTTCTGTCCTCTGAACACCATTCACCTTCCAAACCAGATTCAGGTGGTCAGGGTAGAAACCAGATGCCAGGCACACCAGTGTGGCCTTGCTCTTCTGTTGGATCTCTTGTTTTGATGGGGAAAAGATGGCCACAGCTGGAGGTATGATTTTATCATTCTTCCCTGAAACAGAAAGCAATATAGCCCAGAGCCTCCATTTCAGTCTTTAATCAGAAACCCCTTAAAATTATGTTGTATATGTGCCATATGATTCCTGATATATTTGGCCTTTTTAACAACGGGCTATTAGACAGTATCTAGCAGATAAGTAGACACCAGGAAACTAAAAGCATTTGTCTCTACTCATTACACAGAAACATAAAAGGTCTGGCATACAGATATGCACAAGTGTTTGAATTTCTACTATTGTATCTTTCAGAAGAATAGAAAGCTGAAAAGAAGCTGAGCGAACAGGTGGAAAAGTACCCAATAGTGCTGTAAGTCCTGTATTTGTAATATTGTACTAATAATAAGAGTTTGTGTTATAAGGCATCTTCAACTGACTGTATTACATTCCTGGAAATGCAGAAAGACACAACAGTTATTGCAGTTTTTCAATTCATACTGTTATGTGATATCCTACTTGGACACCTCCCCCCACCTAAGAGGTGGGAAAGGAAGGAGCTAATATTTCTCGCTGTCTGAAGTTAAGAACACCTGAATCTGCCTGGGACAAGTTTTACTTTAGGTCTTTACCTTGCCATTCTTTCTTAAGTCTGCAAAATATCTCTTTATGTTATATATTATTTAGGTTTTCCTAGGTATAAGAAGCCCTCATCCTAGACTATATATCTTCCTAAAATGATGCAAAATTCTACACACTTACAAACCAGTTGTTCCCTGTCCTAATGTTTAATTATCTGCATGTAAGACTAAAGACAACAGACTTCTACAGTCAAAAGAATGTACAAGGCAACAATGAGATGTTACTCAGAAGCTAGCCAGCAAGCCAGAAAAGCAACCTTTTGTATTTTTCCGTATATATTAGAATATCTTTTTTTACTCATCCAGCATGGTAAGTCTACCAAGTCTGCAGAGTGCAAATGGAAAAAAAATGGAGAGAACACTATGGAACCAAAGAGAAAGCTTTACTTTTTTTTGGTGTGAAGGCACTATAAATTGAGGATATACCTCCTGATCATTCTCTCCTTTCTAGAGTGGAGAGAATTAGCAGAATTAGCAGAAACGTGTATCTTGGATAGTTCTTGACCCCTAAGACCTCTTATTTGTTTTCAAATGTCAGTACTTTCTCTACAAAAATCTCTGGGATGCTTCCATGAAACTTGTGAGCTTGTACAGACTTCAGAAGCAGTAGCTAAATAATAATGCAAATAACTCCCTAGAAGGTTTGGCACTGCGCTGTTTTCCTTCCAATGGATATGAAGAGACTTTTACTGCTACCTTCTAGTCCATGACTTTATGATTTTTCTTCATCATAGCCTAAATGGCTAATGAGTGAAGACATGGAAACAGATCGGGAAGACACAAAATAAAGCTGTGAGAGATTTAAAAGCAAAGAGAAAGGCAGGTGAAAAAGGCAGAAAGAAAAAATTATAAAATTACTCGACAGACAAATACAAAGCCAGAGAACAACCATGCCTAAAATGGAATTAGGAAACTAGTACAAGCAAGAGCAGAGACAATCATAAAAAAGTGTTATCAACAGTCCATTTCATTCTAATCTTCCACAGTGTTCACGGCAGACACTGGCGCAATGCTTAATCACTTTCATGCATAAACCCATGCATTCCCTGTCACAAATTCTTCATCCAAGAGAAGTACTACTGTCCTTCAATTCCCATCATGGCAAGGTCAGTCTCATGATTTGTTATCTTTCCCTCCTACTCTTGTTTAAAATCACCTGTGTACATGCTACATGTCATTAATGCAAGGGATATTTTCAAGTGTCCTCCACACTGAGTACTTGGATTTATCACAGCTTCTTACCTGTCACTCTCAGCACAGTGTCAAATCCAAAGGTAAGTAGTGCAGCTAAAAAGCACAACTGCACAAAATCAGACTACAATCTGCAGTGTTATTATGTTCTTCTTGTCAGCCACTTAATTGCTTAAACTGGTACTGTTTAAAGGAGCAGGCATCAGTGTGTATTTCTGCAGTTTGCTCTCAGATGGGGCAATAGCAGATGGAAAAGGTTATTTTGTACTGTGAGTTCAAAAAGCCTTGATATAGGTAATGTTAAATCGCTTCCTGGGAGGGGAGAAGGTGGAGAAAGCAAATGGGGAAAAAAAAAATAAAGGAGAAAAGTGCGCTGAGAAAAAAAAGAATACAATATTTTTGAGAGTTAGAAGTCATGAAAAGGACTGTTAGAGGAAGCCAGTGTCTCAAAACAACTTTCAGCAGCCTGCCCACCATCAATGGAGAGAGGAGCAAAGTAGCAGCAAGACCACTCTTGCCCTGACCAATTCAGCAAACACAAGAATCCAGAGTCTACCTGGAAAAGTCAGTTTTAATTGTTACATAGATAACTGCAAAAACTTGCAGAAAACAATCTTTCATTCCTAACCTCAGTAATGTTTTACTGGACAACAAAATTGCTTCCTCCTTTCTCTCTTCATGAAGTTCACAGTAAGGGAAGAAAAAGGCAACAGACACAAGGATCTCAAAATTCTTAACTGTAAATTCTACACTTCCATATTAGCACATCATATTTTAATAAGTAACCTATAAAACATGAAGCTTGTCCATGGGTATATGAAAAATTATCATTATTCTGTTATTAATTAAGAATGCTCTTGTCCCCTGAATGAGTATCACATATATCACAAAGATCTGACTTTTGTCTTACCTAGGACTGTGACTTTTGTCCCGCTGCCAAAGTACAGTCTTTCGTTATTCACACTGTTTTGCAGCTGCAGGAAAACCTCTACTCTCAGTCCTCTGAGCCAAACCTATGGACTAACCCTCCCCTCATGTGGTACCAGCAAACAAAGAAACACAACGTACATTAATTTATGTTCTGTAAGGGAAGACTACCAGATTTTTGTGTCTAAAGAAGTGAGATCAATCTCAGAAACAGCTCTTCCAGAGTCCTTTTGCTTCAGGAAGGCTCTATTTTTATTGTCTCTATTCTCTTAGCTATTATTATCAAAGTTAGCTGCATAATACGGTCAATGATGGATCGGTGTATTGATTGTCGTCACTTCAGGTACCTCAGTTTCACATTGGATTTCAAAAAATGTATTTATTACTGAATTTTAATCTACGCAGATTAAATTTTGTGGTACAAAAGCCTGAAGTATCAATTCTTCTGATTCCAGAAGCAATACAATGTGAAAAAAAAGATCAGCGTCTTAGAAGCAGCCTTGTTTTCCTCTGGATTTGGTGACAGTCCAAATCGAAAAGTGGGGCCCAGAAATAAACACTCTTTGAGAGCTACTTCTATGTGAAATGAACCACATATTACTTTTCTGTGATTCTCAGTGACCTTTTAGCATCTATTCTGAAATACTCCCAGATGATCTTTTCATCATCATGTAGACAAGCTTGTTTTGTGGAAGGAAACTTGCTGTGCTGTGTTATTTTCTGTGACAACAAGGAATTAAACAGCTGCAGAGAGCTGTTAGTACTGCTTATGATAAAGTTGAATATTTACTTGGGGCTTCTGTTTTGTAAACCAAAAATGCTAGTATACTTTGTCTTTCCCAGTTATCTGAGATAAAACATGCTTTATTTTACTCTAAAAAGATCCAGAGTAGTTAAAGTTTGTAGAGACTTAGTTTCATTTTCTGGACCTCTGCAAAGTGTAGCTGTAACTCAGCTCTTTCCAGACAGATACGCATTTACTGTCTTGTCCTCAATCACCTGTAGCCCTAGGAGAACTACCATTACGGAGAACAGCTATACTTTTGGGGAATAATGATTTTTGTAGATGTTAGTTTATTAAGACAATATACTTATGCACGTATTTTTTAAACCATTCCTCATCCTAATTCTTTCTTCTCCAAAGTGACATTGGTGTACCTACCTAGAGTACTAAACTTAGTTTATTCTCCAAAGTAGACTGGGTTACTAGCACATCAGAAGAACACCAATTTAAGAATGAAAGGGAGAATAAGGTTGAAGTGAAGCTCTCTAAAGAGAAGATCTGAGACTTCAAGTGATTTAAAAGAGAAAACAAAAATTTCTTACCTATTACTGTAAGCTTTGTGCCATCGCCGAAAGTCATGGTATTGGTGATCACAGTGACAAAGTGTTGTATCATAAGCTAAGAAAAGGGATGCACTGCAGTTGTGTAAGCAGAAACTTACACAGTGTTGGAATCTCAACAATCCCTAAATCTCTATCTGAAGAGCTGTGGTGGAAAAACAGCTTGAAATCTCATTCATAACGCGTAGCATTTATAAAAGCATTTCCCAGAGATTTTGATACTAATTCTTATTGTCTACATTTCACCTGAGGTTGTTTTACAGCCTTTCTCTAATCTCCATGTTACCTCACTGATATTACCTGTTCCTATTTTGCAGATGTAGAAACCATGCGGACATACCCAAAGTGGTAGAGGCTGTCACTATTTAGAAATATAATTCCTCTACAACTAGAACTGCCTTACTGTCAGTCTTGTACTCTAAGAATTGTGAAGCCCTCCTTTCTGTAACTTGTGGAATTAATAATCAAATAATAATTGCTTTGTGGTTGTCATTGTTGTGTGCCTTTTCATATAGGTTGTTTACCTTTGTTACAATGAACTAGAATAAATCCATTTTTTTACCTTACAATGGCAGGCCAGCCATCTTGAATAGTCTTTCAGGATCCCATTCAGTTTTCTGATATGTTAAAAGTAATCCACACAAGGAGAGTCCAGAAAAATCAGTTGACTGGTCTCAGACAAATCCATTAGGAAGAAATACAGTGAGACAGTGTGAAGAACAATTGGAGAAAACCTTAGTGCTCACAGGCGTGAGTCAATCAGTGGACAATGGAATTCTATTTAAGAGAGAAAACGCCAGCATATTTTGCATAATGCCTTGAGAGATATCTGCTACACATCAGAATTCTTTTCCTAACACTTTTATTACATTAATAAAGAACAATTTAGTGGTTTATAACAAGTATTATTGCATCAGAAAAAATACCGTTTCTCTGCTTCACATACTCATATAGATTTTAGATGCATCTGCAGCCAATCTGGTTTGTTGAAAACTATTTCAGTGTCTCAGGTTTTCCTGGCTTGTTTTCCAGAAAGCAAAGGCTTGGTTCTCAGGTGATGGAAGTAAGTTCTAGCACGCTAAGTCTGGCAAGAAAAAACAAGACAGAGCACGCCCATTGTGCTGTAGAATACTCTATAGCTGTCTTAAAACACATTCCCATAAGTCTTACGCACATAAGGGTTTTTGTAAAGGCCTCCTGGATAATGTGTCATTGTGGATCACCTGTCCCCACAGCAATACAACCTCGTACAAAAACAATCCCAACCATGGCTCTGCCCTCTCATTTTTGTCAGCACAAACGATTGCAGTGGGAACCACAGGCCACATCCTTCCTCTGCCATTGCTGTTCCTGTGTGGTAGTCCTCTAAGTGATTACCTCTTAGTATATCCATTATCCCTGAATTTCTAATCCCAACATTCTTTTCCTATAAACAAGAAAGTATTTTTTTTCTTTTGTTAGCTGGTTTTAAATGCAAATATTTTTCACTTGGTAACTTCATAACAGTGCTAATGCTGCTTTCCTGTCCAGTCTTTTTTACTTTGGTCCCAGGATGATACACAGACCTCAAGCCCACAATAACTGGTTTGAATTGAGAGACACTTGCTTAATATAGACTGCTGTTTCTGTTTCTAGCTTGGCCTTCTCGTGAAGATTCTCTTTGGTATGTTCTGCACTTCTCATAGTTACTCTGAAAGTGAGGGAAGTAGGGTGCTGACCTCTTAAGTTTGTATTCCTCTGACTGCCCTGTTACAGGAAGCAGAAGTACAAGCTACTCCCAGGTGCCTGTGACACTGACTATGAAAAGGCTTCATCTAGGAGTAAGAGTGTGCCTTCATTTTGGAGCCTGTCTGAAGGGAGTAGGGACTGGCAATTGCAAGTAAGAGAATACTCTTGTCTCCTTCTCTTACACGTAAGTAAATGGAGACATAAAACTGCGTTCCCCCCCTCAACAGATTTGTCCAAGTATGATGTAACTCCAAAGAGGGAAAGATCTGTGCCAGTGAGACTGTATGTACCAGCACACACTGAGACAATATAAAGACAAGCATACGAGCAAGCCAGCCCAGGTTTAGGGCATACGCAGCCCATCCTAGCCTATCCTCATATAGAAGGTCAACACACAGCAACATGACCAAGTACCTGCAGTAAACATGTTCATATTGCTCTTTAATGGTTTCACTTTAGTCTGTCTTGATATAAAAATTAGGCTGTAAGTACAGGACACAATCTGTCAAAACATGGTAATTCTACTAGGAAAATCAAAAATTGTTTTTTCTTGTTTTCAGATATCACAGGAGAACCCATAATATCTGACACAGTCTGTTCAACTGGGAACAGTTAGTGCCCCAGGGAAGAGAATGAGAAACATAACCTTAAGATGAAACATTTAGGACCAAGGCATAGGACTACAGAAGGCAAGATATTGGATAGGTGATCTCAAGTGCCCCTACAGTATCCTCTCTTCTATTACAAAACTGTGTGCTTAAGTCACTAATTATGGGAATGACTGCAGATATTTGTCTTTGTTTAGACTGTAACACAGTAGTGTCCTTACTGTCACTATCAGACTTCCTTCCATATAGTGTATTTAATTTAAAGATAAGAAAATTGCCTCTGTATTAATTTTGAAGGAATATTTCCATGTGGTGCTAACATCTCCTCAAGGCATGTTCATAAGGCAATTTCCATGACAAACCAGCAGAGACCAGTCTTGTCCCACTTTGTTCATCTGTAACCTATCAAAAGGAAAGGCCTTGTAAGTTGTGAATTCAAATGAGAGGAACAGAAGTTCCTTGATTTTTATTGCCGTGTATCTCACAGGGTTTTTCATGGGGCAAGCTGTGTGAATCTTCAGACGTCCTTGCAGGGAGACAATAAGATAAAAAAGATCTCATGGGTTGAGATAAAGGCAGTTTAATGAAGAAAAAGCAAGGCTATCATAGAATCATAGAATGGCCTAGGTTGGAAGGGACCTTAGAAATCATCTAATCCAACCTCCCTGTCATGAGTAGGGAAGCCACCTCTCGACTAGACCAGGCAACACATGGGGACCGAGCAGGAATCGAACCCATGACCTCAGTGTTGTCATTGTTGTCAGCATCGTGCTCAACCCACTGACCTAGCCGGCCCCCTAATATGTGCAGATGCAAAGGAAAACAAAATTATTTATTTGCTACTTCCCATCCACAGGTAATATTCAGCCACTTGTTGGGAAGTAGGACCTCAGTACGTATAGCGGTAGTCATTGTTCCAGAAGACAAGCACCTTAATAATGAATTCCCCCTCTCCTTCTCCTATCTCTTAGTTTTTTATTGCTGAGCATGACGTCATATGGTATGGAATATCCCTTTGATCAGATTGGGTCAGTTGTTCTGGCTATGTTCCCTCTCAAAGTCTTGCTCACATCCAGCCTACTGGCCTTTGGAGCAGGGGTGGGGGGAGATGAGTTTTGAGAGAGAGCCTTGATGCTTTGCAAGCACTGCTCAGCAGTAGGTGAAACACTGGTGTGTCATCAACATTCTCCTAGGTACAAACACAAAATGCAGCACTATGAGAGCTGCCATCCCCCTGGATCCAATAAACATCCCCATACAGATAGTGATGCTATAGCATCCCATATGTGTATATTTCCTTTATTTCCTTCCCTTTGTTTGCCTTCTCTTCCAGTCTGTTTCTACTCAAGTTTCATGCTAGATGCCATTGATTTGCAGCCTAGTTGTTCCACTAAAGAACAATATTATTTACAAAATTTCATTTCATTTCATAGAATGGCCTAAGCTGGAAGAGACCTTAGAGATCATTTTAAACCAGCCTCCCTGCCACCAGGGACACCACCTCTCGACTAGATCAGGCAACACATGGGGACTGAACGGGAATCGAACCCGCGGCCATAGCGTTGTTAGCGCCACGCTCAACTGACTGAACTAACCAGCCCCCAATGCTCATCTTCTCCTCCCAGCACAGAACTTTATTGGATCATAGAATCATAGAATGTTAGGGGTTGGAAGGGACCTCAAAAGATCATCTAGTCCAATCCCCTGCCAGAGCAGGATCCCCTAGGGCAGCTACACAGGAATGCATCCAGGAGAGTTTTGAAGGTCTCCAGAGAAGGAGACTCCACAACCTCTCTGGGCAGCCTGTGCGAGGGCTCTGTCACCCTCACAGTAAAGAAATTTTTCCTCATGTTGAGGAAAATATATTCTATATTCTAACTTAAACCCATTATTCCTTCTTCTATTACTGGGCACCACTGAGAAGAGATTGTCTCCTTCCCCTTGACCCCCACTCCTCAGATATTTGTACACATTAATAAGGTCCCCTCTCAGCCGTCTCCTTTCAAGGCTAAACAGCCCCAGTTCTCTCAGTCTCTCTTCACAGGAGAGATGTTCAAGTCCCTTAATCACCCTCATAGCTCTCCGTTGGACTCTATCCAGTAGGTCCTTGTCTCTCTTGAATTGGGGAGCTCAAAGCTGGACACAGGATTCCAGGTGTGGTCTCACTAGGGCAGAGTAGAGGGGAAAGAGAACTTCTCTAGACCTGCTGGACACACTTTTCTCAAGGTACCCCAGGATCCCATTGGCCCTCTTGGCCACAAGGGCATATTGCTGTCCCATGGTGTGGTGGTTTGGTCCTCACTGGAGGCCAGGAGCTCACCAAAGCCGCTCTATCACTCCCCTTTTTTGAGATGGACAGGGGAGAAGGAAGATATAACAAGAGACCCATGGGTTAAGATAAAAGCAGTTTAATACAGCAAAAGCAAAGACTGCACATGGAAGCGAAGCCAAAGATTATTCTGTACTTCCCATCAGCGGGCGATGTCCGGCCGCTTTCCCAGGAAGCAGGGCTCCAGTAAGCATAGCGGTTGCTCTGGAGGACAAACACAAATAGTGAATGCCCCCCCACACCACTTTCCTCTCCCTTCTCCCTTTTATATCTGAGCTGATATCATATGTTATGGAATACCTCTTTGGTCAGTCTGGGTCAGCTGGTCTGGCTGTGTCCCCTCCCAAGATGTTGCCTACCCTCAGTCTACTGTTGGGGGAATGTTAGAAAACCACAGTCTCAGTGCTGTGTGAGCACTGTTCAGTAGCCAAAACACTGCGGTGCTATCAACACCCTTCTAGCTACCACTACAAACACACAGCACTGAGAGAGCTGCTGTGGGAAGATTAACTCTACCTCAGCCTGACCCAATACACATGGACAACTTACTGTCCACTAGGACTTCAGGGTCTTTCTCCATGGGGCTGCTTTCCAGCAGGACATCCCCTAATCTGTGCTGGTGTCTGGTGTTATTCCTCCCCAGATGCAGGACTCTACACTTGTCCTTACTGAACTTCATGAGGCTCCCCTTTGCCCAGCTCTCCAGTTGTCTCTCCAGCCTGTCCAGATCTCGTTGGATGGCAGCACAGCCTTCCCGTGTGTCAGCCACCCCTCCCAGTTTTGTATCATCAGCGAACTTGCTGAGGGTGCACTCTATCCCCTCGTCGATGATTAACACAAGGTTATCTGTCTTGTTATTTCTGTTTTGAGTCAGTTCTTTTCTCACAGGAAGCCTGAGAAACAGCAGCTGTGATAGGAAACATCTTTAGTTTAATATTTTCATTAATGATCTGGATGATGGGGCAGAGTATACTCTCAGCAACTTTGCAGAGGGCACTGAACTGACTATTCAGAGAGACCCCAACAGGCTGGATAAATGGGCCAATAGTAACCTCATGAAGTCCAACAAGTGGAAGTGCAAAGTCCTGTACCTCAGGAGGAATAATCCCATAAATCAGTATATACTGGGAGACATCTAGCTGGCAATCATTT